TTTCTGATCCATGTACAATTTACTAATCAATCTTCTTTCACGCCAATCGATACCTGTTTCCTTTAGGATCTGCGTTAATTTGATCCAATTTACACGGTCAAATGCCTTCTGCCAGTCTATAAAGCAAGTACACAGTTCTTCATCTATCTCCAAAGTTCGTTCTGCTATAATTCTCATCATCCCAATTGCATCCCTGGTTCCTTTCCCTCTTCTAAATCCAAACTGATCCTCTCCAAGTATATCCTCTATTTTCCTTTCAATTCTTCTTTTAAGTATCTTTGCTGTATGTGCAGTAAGGCTTACTGTGTGATGGTCACTGCATTTTGTAGCTTCTGTCGTTTTCTTTAAGGCAATCATTGTCACTTCTGTAAAGTCCTTGGGCCACTCCCCAGTTTCATATAGGGTGTTTATTAGTTTTGTCAGTGTTTTCAAACCACCTTTTCCCAGTAACTTAAGCACATCTCCAGGTACATCATCATCTCCTGTAGCCTTTCCATTCCTCATGTCCTTGATAGTTTTTCCACCTCACTTTGTAAAATATATGGTCCTTTCTTGCCTGTATCTACTTCTTTGGGTTAGATTTACTCTACTTCCAAAAAAATAACTCTTTATGGAGGTGTCAGGAAAGCATGCATGACAACAGACAGCATTTCCAGCACTGCTGTACCTGTTACATGTTCAGCTATAAGTCTATCAACATAACCTTCACCAATAGTGGGGAGCCTAAACAGCTCCGCCAAAGTGGCTCAACAATTTACAGAAGCTCTTTCATGACTACATGTGTATCTGCAATTATAGAACCCAGGACTCAGCTTGATGAATCTGCCTAGTCCTTAATCAAGAGCCATGAAAATGAAGATTAAACTTCCAAACTCCAATATTAACCCATCAGCTTACCATTTTTGTGTGTACAAATAAATGTGAAATGCCTTTCAATATCAAAACAATTAAAACATCTGTTTCAGAAATCCCAGTATTTTGGGATGAAGGTCTTATGTTAAGTAGGCACACCCAATATTACAGGTGAGAGTTCTTGGCTGTACCTTACAACTACAAACTACTACTGTAACTAAAAAACAGAAGTCAGCAACTTCTGTTCGAGTCATGGAGCAATAAGCAAATGGGCTCAAGACTGAGAAGCCAAATAATTTTCAAACTATGAATTGGATCATGGTCCATGTGGATTGGTCTCCATAGCTACCAAATTTAACTAAAATCAATTTCAATCTCTGAGGCAACATGAACTCCATCTACCACTACTCTGCTGCCCGCAATTCCAAAGGACCTATGGTGCAACATAAAGGATGTCCATCACAATCCAGGTGCACAGGACTAGCGCACTATGATCATATGTCTGCGCTAATGGTGACATGTTGAAGCACAGATTAACATACAGGCTCAAAGGATATAATAAAAACATTAATGTTACTATGTTTTATCCTTCCCATTTGTGCTTACAGACCTGTAAACATGAAATGGCTGTAGCTGTGTTACAAAACGTTTTCAGACTTAGGACAAGTAACACCTTTCGGCTCAGTCAGGCACATCCACATAAATTCTTGAAAAAAAAAATACTTATTTTTAAACACCCTGTTTAGCCAATTGTAAACAATCACAGGAGGGAACTGGAAAAAGGGATTTATATCATATAACTTCAATTTCAGCACACACTAGGATCTGAGTAATAGGCCCAATCACTCAGAACTGGGCACAAATGAACAATTTATGAATCCTAATACAGACAAGCCAGGCACCGCACCTGAACACTTCATCAACGTAAAATTTCAGTCTATCGCTGGATGCCTGTCCTGGACAACAGGACAATACACTTTCTCTTTAATTCATATTTTTTAAGTTAATTAACTGCATACACATACCAGTGCAATTTGCCTTACACAGAAAGTTAAGGACAAATGTACCTGTGTAGGTGTCTCTTTGCTTTATGTACATCTCATAAACTGAAAAATTATAATCACACTTTAACCCTTTGAGCAGTAGACACATACATAACTGCAATAATTGATGTGTCAAAACCAATTTACAGATATTTACACAAAATACATAAAACTAAATCTTTATTTGTACAAAATGTAAGGAAATTAAAAGCAGGAGAGATGAAACATCTACCATGTATTCAGAAACGAACATGAACCAAGATACAAATTGTACTGTATTATATATTTTATGGAAGCAGAAACACAACACGGAAGTTGCTCAACTTAATGATACAGTGGTATGGACATGTGTTGTGTCTGGAGAACTTTCAATATGAAAAAAAGATGTCAGACACTTGAAGAACCAAGGATATACAAAAGAAGAGTATATTAATAAATAAGAAAATGTGTTAAGATATTGATAAATGTTTAACATAAAGACTTGTGGACATTGCATATTCTATAGCAATTGATTGCTCAGAGGGTTAAGTAAAACAGTATCATAAATTATTCAATATATATTAATTTATTGAAATAAATTGACAAGTTTTCTTTTGAAAATATATAAATAAAGAAATATTTATGTATACCATATGGCAACAATAATTGGGTTGATATTAGGCTACATTATCAACTGTTTCATAGGAAACCCCATTCAACCCTGTACTCCAAAAAACCATTCCAAACCCCAGGTGATATTGGTTAGGTACAATGACGCCAAAGTCTATTAATTTTTCTAAACGTCTTCTAATATTTAACACTTACCTTGCAAGATAGTTAGCCAAAGGTTATACCCATTTTTATTTCTTTTTACATATCTTTCACGGCAGGAATTCGCTATTCACTTTGGTCTGTAGAAACACCATGGATAGTCAATCTATCCTTTGAGTTTCACTGTTCATATTATCCAGACACAAAGTTAATCTGACATGCATGATGACTTTTCTCCGTTTACACGTGTGATGGAACTGCTTCTTTCAGGGTAACCTACAGTTATATGCGGACTCAAACCCACATACGAGACGACAGGATTGATGACACAGAGGCTAAATCAAGTCATGAATGATATTTGTACTTACAACCACAGAAATTATGTCTGATGTGCATATTACGTTGTAGCCATAACACGTGTTATGGTGCAATGTGCCATTATCATACTGTATCTTCCGTGCTCCCTTACATTAATTGCCTGGTACCCTGGTGTTTGCCTAGTGGGGGCATACCTCAGGAAAGTCCTTGCGGCACAAAGGAAAACATATCTACATCGTCAGGAGAGGGTGCTAGATCATCCTCCACCACCAGCTGCTCTGAATAGTAGTGAGGAGTGCTCAGATAGTCGATCACCCTGCGTGGCAGAGGCAGAGAAGGAATCAGGTCCCGACGCACCAACTTCAAGATCACAAACCTGTGGGAGAAGAGATGCAACTTAATCAGTATCATCCACAACTTACACACAAAGTTACCAACTTAGAAAACAACTGATACAAGTAAACTAAATTAACTATCCACGAAGACTAAACTAACTCTATCCAGCTGAGTCCTTCTTGAGAAGCTGCCAGCTGTTCAACTACTCAAGAATTTCCCAGCATTTTCTGGAACCCAAAGGTTCGTAATTGTGTTCACAAGCACCTGCCATTGGCCCATGTCCAGAGCCAGACGAATCAGTCCCTACAACTCCACCTCATCCCACTTCCTTAAGATCCACTTTAATATTATCCTCCTACATGTCTTAGGTCTTCCTAGTGGTCTCCTTCCTTCTGGCTTTCCCAGCAAAACCTTGTATGCATTCCTCTTCAACCCCATGTGTGCTACATGTCCTTCCCATTTCATTGTCATTGACTTCATCAGTCTGATTACTTTGGCAAAGAGTAAAAGTTATGAAGCTCCACATTACGCAGTTTTCTCTAGCCTCCTGTTATTTCATCCTTCTTTGGTCAAAATTTTCTTATCAGCACCCTGTTCTCACACACCCTCAGTCTATGTTCTTCCTTTATTGTCAGAGAGCACGAACACTAAACTAACTATCTTCATGGAGCTGAGCCCTTCTTGAGAAGCTGCAAGTTGTGCAGCTACTCAAGCACTTCCCAGCATTTTATGGAACCCAAAGTTTCATTACCGTGTTCACAAGAGCCCTCCACTGGTCTCTTATCCTGAGCCAGATCAATCCACACCATACCACTCGATCCTACCTCTCTAAGATCCATTTTAATATTACCCAGCCACCTATGTCTTGGTCCTCCTAGTGGTTTCTTTCCTTCTGACTTTCCACCAATATCCTATTTGCATTCCTATTCTCCCCTCATACCTCATCTCCCAGTCAAGAACCTCTTGAATATGAAACAAGAGTGGCAAACACTAGAGGTACCTGCACATATGCTGGAGGCTTTGCACTTGCTTGAATCGTGACACTGGATGTAACAGCTGTACCCTCATGGGTCCCAGGACAGGGCGTCGGTGCAAGAAGAACAGGTAGCGCCCGCTACGCGAATGCTCCACTGCATTCTCTATGAAGTCTACAATTGTGTGACTCTTGAACTTTGTACAGCTTCCAAAACTAAAATTACCTGCAATACGGAATCACTTTAATAACCTGATCTGTCAATGTCAATTGGTGCCACAGTACTTATATTTTGACAAAACTGCCAATAATAAGAGCGTCTATCACATAATATATACAGGGAGAGGCATAAATTACCATAAGAACATGGCCTTGCAGAATGTGATGCCATGTACACCAAACTACAAAGCATCACACCCTAAAGACTTTAACTTCAACATTCACTGCCATGAGAACTTCGAACCTCACACAAATCATATGTGCCACTTTATGCATTTTTTGTACGTTTGTCTGAAGGGAAAGCATGGAACAGGAAAGTGCCTCTGTGCCTCATCATCTAAACAAGCAATTCTCAGTTGGTGAATATGGACTGCTAGCAGCCCACAAATTATAGTTAGCATTACACTGCATACGCTATATATTTCAATACAGTTTAGAAAGTTTCCATTTCACAACTAGCAACATTTTTTTTATTTCCTCTTTGCAACAAAATTATACAGCAAACTTTCATCACAAAGCAGGTGTTGGGGGGACATCTCCCATACCCGCACTGTAAGTGAATCGACAGTCCTCTAAGCTCAGCAGGTGAGCAAGATTTTTTATCATCTGTGGTTGAGCAGGTAAAAAGCAGGCTCATTAAATGTTGCTGTTTCAACAAAATAATCTTAAAGTCACAACAACCAGAAATATACAGCCTATCTATACTAGACTGTGGACTTTACCTTATGTACCTGCAAACTACAGCAAGAAATGTTGCAGTGCAGTCTTACATTGCAACTATAAATCTATATGACCTAAACATATGAACTCGTATCAAGGGACATGGTCAAAGCCATGATATATCTGAATCCTTGGTATAACGAGGTCCTCCTGTATTTATTCTATGTACATGGTGTTTTATGCTTGTTTATACTACAGTCTGAAGTACCTAACACCATCCAAACAAATCGCTCCTTAAACGCTAACAGCTGGCCCAATGGTGAAGAAACTCCATCTTTTATGGTACCCGAAGGTTCATCACCACATTCACAAGAGACCACCACTTGTTCCTACCCTGAGCCACATGATTCCAGACCACCCCTCACACCATTTCCTTATGATTAATCTAGATATTATTCTCCAATGTAAGAGAAAGTCTTGTAAGTTTCTGAACAAAAATTTTGTCAGCATCTCTCACCTTGTACATGCTCAAAGCATAGCTGCTGCAAAGACAAACTAAAGGATGAAGTGATATGAGATATAACGCTGTGTAATCCACTGAAAGTAAACTGATGTTTCAAAGGAACACATCACCTGCATCTTCAGGGTCAAAGAATAAGCCATGCAAGAAACCAGCATGAAAGCAGGAGGCAAAGAGAGCTTCTCTGCTCATACATTCCTCCGAAATGTTTGTAAACTTTCAACAGACTACATGGCATTATATGCCAGAAGGGAAAACTCTTCATAACCACTGCAGTAAGAACCTCAAATCCTATTATGGATGATGAAGTGATTTGAAACAGATGTTAGTTTAAAACTGAGTATTGTGAATTATGCCTCTACACATCATCTCAGAGTCAACTTGAATTCTTGGACGTCATGTCTCTTTTCTGTCTGAACTTCCCCACAAATTGACCTACGGCCAGTCTGTTTTACTAACCCTGATCATGCTCAATCCGAACATGCCGAATACAGCCGTTCAGTTTGAATGTCAATGAGAAAATATAATGGTCATCGCTGCTGTCCCGAACAATGAAGGAACCATCTGGTTCATTTGAGAGGATCTTCTCGGCAGCTTCTCCAGAAATGGGACCCCAGTACCAACCATACTGAAAAAATAGGAAGCATCTATGGCAGTCTAATCAAAGTACACAAGCTAAAGACAGATCACATGATCTATTTTTACTATGTAAACCAGTGAAGCAGTTAAGAGCAAAGAGTTGAATGAATGCCTAAGGGGTGGGCCATAATAATCCAGCCCTTGCCCTGCAACCTTCAATAATCTGTTGTGCATTACATTACATTGCATTGCATTCCATGGATACAAAGTTAGTCAAAATGACTGTAGGATGTGGAATATGTCATATAAATACAAAACATATGTACAGTCCCAATGGAGTTCTCACACAAGAGAAACCAAGATTACACAGTGACTATATACAAGGCTATTTAAAGATATATAAGTCATTTTCTAGACGACAATAGGTATTCATCAACAGAGTAGAAGTATTGTTTAAGTGCTATTTTAAATCGTGCCTTTTCATTCATAAGACCTTTGAGATCAGATGGCAGGTTATTAAAAATGTTGAACCCAGCATAATATGTGCTTTTCTGAAAGCAAGAGAGGTTAGCAATTGGTTTATGAAGACAGTGTTTGTGTCTTGTGTTAACACTGTGTACATCCGCATTCATCTGAAATGTTCTTCGTTATTTGTAATGAAAGTTTATTAATGAATATATATATTCACAAGGAAAAGTTAAGATCTGTAGTCTCTTAAATATATCTCTATAGGAATTACAGGATTTGACACCCATCATGATTCTAACAATTTTCTTTTGCAATGTAAATACCTTTTTACTGTCAGATGAATTACCCCAGAAAATTATTCCATACTTTATTAAAGAGTGATAATAAGCAAAATAGAATGATTTTAGAGTGTCAATGTTACTAATATGTAACATAAATCTAACTGCATAACATGCTCTACTTAGCTTTGGAATCAACTGATCAATATGGTTTTTCCAGTTTAAGTGATTATCAATTTGCAAGCCAAGGAATTTTGTGTTTACTCCCTCTTCTATACTGTATATTTATCATTATATCCCATTTTTAATAGATATTGTGGTGAGTTTTTGTTATAAATTTTATTACATTTGTATTTTCTAGGTTCAGGGACAGCTTGTTTGCAGAAAACCATTTACTCATTTGCGAAAGAATCTTGCTTGATAACGTGCAGAAATCATCTAAATTTTTACCAGAAATTATAACACTAGTGTCATCTGCAAATATATAGGTATTGATGAGGTCCTTAGTATAGGAGGGAGGTCATTTATATAAATTGTGAAAAGCAAAGGCCCCAAAATTGACCCCTGTGGAACTCCATGTTTTATTATTCCCCAGTTTGAGTAGGTACTTTGGATTGAATTTGATTATTTTATTTCAATCTTTTGTTTTCTATCTGTTAGGTAGGATCTGAACCAACTTAACACTGTTCCTTGAATGCCAAAAGATGTAATTTAGTTAATAAAATTTCATGATTTACATAGTCAAAGCCTTTGCCAAGTCACAGAATATTCCACCAATGTGCATTTTTTTATTAACAGATTTCAACACACTGTCTGTTAACTTAAAGGCTGCATTTTCAATGGAAATTCCTTTCCTAAAGCCAAACTGTTCTGGGACTAGTATATTGTTCCTCTGAAAATAATGGCTTAACCTACTGTGCATAACTTTTTCGAGTACTTTAAAGAAAGTAGTTAGCAGTGAAATTGGCCTGTAGTTTGACATACTAGTCTTGTCCCCTTTTTTACACAGTGGTCTTACTACTGAAATCTCAAGATGATCAGGAAAGATTCCTGTGGATAGTGATTGATTAAAGATGTGAGTTAATGGGCTACTGATTAGAGATGCACAAACTTTTAAAATTTTACTTGTTATTTCATCATAACCTGAAGAGTTTTTTGTTTTGAGGGAATGTATTATACTTTTTATTTCAGTTTCAGCAGTTGGAATGATTTTAATACCAGGGAATTTTCTATGAAATGCCTCTCTTAAAAATTAAATGACATTATCTCCCGCTTCCTGATGCAAGTTTAGATTTTCTGTAATTGTTAGAAAAAAAGTATTGAAGGCATCTGCAATTTCTCCTGGGTCCTCAACTTTTTCATCATTTATAAGGAGAGATGGTACCTGTTCAGTCAGATGTGATTTTCCTGTTTCATGTTTTATTACATTCCAGGTGGTTTTTATCTGATAATTTGATTTTGCTATAAGCCTACAGTAATGCTGCCTTTTAGCCTCTTTTATAACTCTACTCAGGACTTTGCAATACCTTATGTAGTATGTTCTCATGTAGGGATTATTACTGCTCCTGCTGTCTACATACAGACCCCTTTTATGTTTACAAGATATTTTTATTCCTTGTGTAATTCAGTGGTTCTTTATTCTACTTACACTCTTATTCTGCATAGGGAAACTGGCTTCAAAGATATTTAGAAAAATATATAAAAAAAAGAGTGCGGTTCTTTAAGAGGAAAGGGTTTGTCAGTAACAGAATGCCAAATATGGTGTTAAGGGGTTCATGGTATGATACTTGTAGTATTCTTTTGAATGTGCATCCTCAACCAAGGGTAAAATCTGCTGCCCAACACCAACCCTTCATGTTGACAGAATGGGACAAATGAACACAAATGTCTCACTACTACAAGAACTATCAGTTTAGAATTATGTGATGTATATGATAATATGGTGTGATCTTTTGGCTGTTTCTTGAAACTGTAAGAATTTCCAACAAATGGTTTAAACTGGTAACAATAGTGGAGCTGAGACAGTGTAATCAATACTGTGACTAGGCTGTAGACTGAATGACCCAGGAATCGAGGCTCAATTCCTAATAGAGACAGAAACTGGTCTCTCTTCCACAGCATCAAGATCAGCTCTGCAGCCCATCCAGTCTCCTATCCAATAAGTACCAGGGGCTGTTTCCCTGGAGGTGAAATAGCCAGCCCGTGAAGCTGACCACTCACATTCATCTAGTTCCAAGGTTAAGAATGTGTGTGGAGCTACACATCCGCATCCCCATACGTCTTCATGGCACAGAGCCTGTTAAACACAGGGACAGCTTTACTTCTCAATTAACATCTCTAGGATGCTTTGTTCTTCTGAAGATTATCTCTTCATAAATATGCATTTCTAGAGTGCACTACAAATTAGTTACCACTGTGGAAACGGCATCATGTCACATTCTTGCTAACCTTTCTCACCTTTGCATGTCTCAACGATGGTGAAGAGTACACACCCACAGTACTGATTCTGCTATGCCAGACGGCTACATAACTATGGACAACCATGAGAGCCTATAACTCAATGTGGTTCCCTAACAAAAGGGATGGCTCAACATTCTTCACCTTTGCCAGACGTATGAGAAATGAACGCATAAACTCCTCAGCAGATATTACGAGTCTCAAGCCTGAGGCATCTGGCATGTAAGCTATTACTGCTACATCATTAGAATCCTTATATATTACCTACAGAGTGATCCAGCTGGAGGCCCTACATTAATAATTATGAATCAGGCATTTATCAATGAAAACAAAACTTGGCAACACTGTGCGCTTTACAACACAGACCTGATGCACGCCTGCCAGCCCAGTTTAAGCCATTTCTTTCAATCTGTGATTCAAATGTTGTGCAGCAGAATAACACACAGTTCCAAGTGGAGGGAAACCAATCTCAACACATCTTCTGTGACTCAATTACCTCCATGTCTACCAAGGTATGCACTCACCAAGATTTGTGCCTGATTTATAATTATTAATTTGAGACCTTCTCCAAGTGAATCACACTATATCACCACTACAGTATCACTGTAACAGTTGTAATACTTTGGCAAATTAAATGCAGATCTAGCAAAGCTAATGACAGTATGTGACAAGAATATATGAGCTTACATCTTTCACTTTCTCGATGCTTGAGGCAAAATCCATGCTGGGTTCCTCTGCCAGCTCCTCCTCCTCCTCAGCAGCCATGGGCCCATCCTCAGGAGAAGGCTGAGGAGTGGAGTCTAAGTCCCCATCTGGAAGCAATACAGTGGCAGGAAGGGGCGGCAGTGCACGTGTTAGGAACGGTGCTTTGCCACTGACATCGACACTGTCATTGGTAGAAATGGTCCCATTTCCCACACAACACCCTGCTATATCAAGCTTCTCTCCTGCGGCAATATGATCGGGAGATGGCAACTTCCGGATTCGGAATATGTTGCACAATGTCTGTTTAAGATTGGTCGAGAAACTGTGGCGCCCAGTGGGAGGTTTCTTAACTTTCTCCTTGTCCTCAGAAAATTCAGACCTTACAGAACTGTCCTTGTCCTTTGTTGCTGTAACATCACATGCATCTTTGGTTTTCTTATTCTTAATGTTGATCACAAACGCATTCTTCTTGTTCTTTCTTACGTTGTTTGTGACGATGTTTCCATTCACACTCCTGGATGAAATCTCCACATCCTCAACAATGCACCTGTTGTTGTTTCGATTATTATTATTGTTGTTGTGCACAGTCTTGTACTGGTGTTTTGGAGTTGCCACATCCATCTTGCTCTTGTTGTCGGAAGAATCGCTGGAACTCGAGTACAGGTTCTGCAGATACTGGCGCACCTCATGAAGTGTCATGTGAATAGGCTCGCCCACAGCAACTGACGGGCTCTCAGTGCTTGCTGAACGTGTCTGCCGTGCTGCTGACGTGCCAGGAACACTATGACGTTTCACTCCTCCTGACTCGCTTACAGCATCAGTATGCGAAGGCGGTCTGACCACATGGATCTGACTAGATGTGACAGTCTTGCCCCTGAGGTTTAAGTGTTGCCTAGTTGAACGATCCAGTTCTGACTGAGAATCGGAAGACGCATGTCTCCGACGTTTGCGATGGTGGTGGCGCTGCTGTCGTTTTGGTCGCTGTGGTGTCCTTGGTGGTCTCACAACATCGATGGGCACTGCATAGATATCACTATCAAATGGAACATTGTACATATCGCTGATCTCACTTGCAGTCAGAACATCGTGTGACATGGCTGATGTGATGAAACTAGAATCATCTGCCTTGTTTGCAGTTGGTACAGACAGTGAGTTGTGTGAGCTTGAGAGGCGGGAAGAGGCCAGGGAGCTGCGGGAACCAGGACGATTACAAGGACTGCTAAATGGTGGCAATTCAGGAGTCCAACAGAGACGTGGCCCACTCCAGCGCCCCACGCTGCGGGATACTGTGGTATGCTGCTCCTGCTGTTGATGTGTCTGCTGACTGTCAGCAGGATGACAATCCTGGGAGCACTGGATGGACCATGTAACTTTGCAAGATATAGACAAGGCTTCTTCTAGCAGTGCAGCTACCAGTCTGGAAGCAAATTTCTCCATCCAAGGTATAAGCAAATGAACACCACAGTCATCAGCTGATATGCTTTCAGGAGAATGCTGTGCCTGTTGAAACAGTAAGAGGCCTGTGTCATGACCCACAGGAGATGGAGGACTGTCTTGAAACTCAGGAGGGGGTTCAATAGTGATCACCTGTTTTTCCACTGTGGGCCAGCCTGGCCCCTTCTTCACTGTGTTGAAATTTTCACCACACATGCCGTTGGTATAATCATCTTGAGATGATGACTTTTCTTCACTGTCACTCTCCTGCAGCTGAAACATGATGACACAACTCTTAATCAAAACAGCCAAAAAATAAATAAATACAATCCAGATATACAGAATGCATGGTACACGCTGTACCTGTGGGTAAAACAAGAACTGTGTATAAATTTTTGGATGGAAGATTTTAAGGTATGAAACCATGTGAAGGATCTATAAATAGATGAAAGGATATCAAAATGGAACCTTAAAAAACACAGGTTGTAAAGATGTTAAATGGAGAAGGTTTGATCTCAAACATGTGTGGCTACATGCAAAATTCATGAAAATGTCCCCAAAACTTCTCCGGGAATTGAATCTATGCTGATTTCCCATTACTTTCTGATATTGTGGGCTGTGCTCATGTTTACAACTTAATTTCATATGACAGTGCCTAGAAAGTGTAACAGATCAACAGCTGAGGCATCTGTGAATTATGTAAAAACTAAATAAATTCCTCCATTTGTAACAAGCATGTGATGAGTCAGAATTAAAGCCCCAGCCCTGAAAACTAAAGACATGATAATATTCTATCTAGATTTTAAAGCACTTCTTGTGGTTTATATGAACTTCCATGAAAGAAACTGAAATACTCTACCTCCATTGTGCCTTGACAAGCACAACTCTCACTAGAGATGGAGTCACTGGTCATCAGCAGCCCATTGTCGTCACACCAAGCAGAACATGTTGGTGGACACTCCATCTATTCTTTTACTCTGATACACTCTTCATGGCATGGTCACATTACAAAACAATGTAAACTGGAACAAAAGTTAACAAAAACTGTCTGTATATTGTATTGTATATTAAACCCTTGCAAGTACATGGACAGGGGAAATGTGGCATGTATAGGTTTCCTATATCCATAATCATTTATTTTTATTGAGCTTGAAATTTGTTACATGCAAGACTATTTTCTATTTAATCTGATAATAACATTCCTTGCAAGCAAGGTTACTTTTGTAATGGAATAATTAGTCTCTCTGCTTGACCAAATTAAATTATAGTTCAGCTGCTAACATAATAATATGAGAATTAACTGTGTCACATATTTCTCGTTCTGACATTTTAAACCAAACGACAATAAAATCTATACGCGATATGTAGAACACCGCTTTCATTAAGGTTTCGGATTGTTTCATCAATGTCAGTATAGAAATTACACGCACTATTATTTTCTACAGGTATAAGGAAACAAAACTGGTACAATAACAATATCGATTGTAACAAATTTAATTAAAACAGAAACTACTATACTTTTATATCATATATTATTGAACACTACCTTTATACAGTTCACACCATGGATATGATTAAAATAGCTGCATATGTGTATTCCCATAATATCGGCAGTCATTACATTATATAATCATTTGCAACGAACATTCCACTAAAATCCCTAGATTAATAAATCAATAAAAATTATCGCTTTTGCAGTCACAACCACACAAGACACGCCATGTTGATTTACTACTCTACCCATCATGCTTATCCAAGTTGCCGTTTAAAAATGGAAGGATTCCAGTCTGTGATTCGTGTTATGTAAAATTTAGGAGTTCTATATAGATTGATCCAGAGAACTTGCAGGTATGCAAGTACGTACATAACATAATATGTTATTGGTCCCATCAGAGGAATCAAGTCAATGACGTCATTCATTCTGTCATTAAATCAAATTCCCATACAAGTCACACCTTTACCATTGCATCACAATTCCACCCAATTTCCATGTAGATCTATATCATAGGATTATATAGATAGCTTCTTATTGCCTACACGGTACTTTCAAATATAGTCTGTCGTGTAGTTGGCTAATGATTTTGACTGCTAAAGAATAACTTTCGCAGCTAACCGTCTACACAGTAATTTCAAATACAGACTGTCGTGTAGTTGGCTAATGATTTTGACTGAAGAAGAAGCTGTATCAATTAAATGGGTTGGTCTGCTATTAGGGGATTTAATCCATTTTTTACGGTAATAGTAACATTATCTCTCTAACTTTTGCAACTAGCCGTGTACTACCACCATTGTACGTAATACAAATGAATGACACAAATGTGTTTTATGTCTCCATAATGTGGCTAAGCAGGAGTTGTAAGGCTGCCATCTCTTGTATATACACTAATGAATATCGGCGAGATTACCGGTTACATTGTCTCAGTTGGATTCAAGCTTAGGAAGTCCCAATGGTTTCGATGATAGGGTAGTTGGAAGATATACGGTTAAATCCCATCTGGGAGGCTATCTATTATGAATTTTTCATACAACTCGCTGAGCTTGTTATGTGCCCAGTAGCATTCGGTTCCCCCTCATGCCCAAGACATGACTGTACTTCCAAAACTAGACCGTTCTGGGAGGTATAGATCCACATTTTATTGACCTCGACACTAGCTGGAGGTGAGTTGTCAGCCTCACGCCCCAGCCTCTTTACCCACAGTACCCATTGGATAGGAGGTTGGGTGGATCCCAGAGCCGGTCTGGACTACTTGGAGAAGAGAAAATTCTTGATCCTACAGGGACTCGAACTCCGACTCCTCGGTCGCCCAGCTCCTGAATGCATGCGGTAGGAATGTAAATCACCACACAGAGCTCACACTACAGCGTGGGCGAATTAAATGATTACCTCTAACGCCACGTTTTATCGATTCATTTCTTTTTCATTCAGGTGAAAAATGACCCTTCGTTCATGTTGCGATTGTTGCTGTGCAGTAACTTAATCATATTATGCATCAATGTAAATAAGACCGTTTTTAAGACTTACGACGCAACGGTTTTCTTCAGTGTCCGGAAATTTCGTGTTATTAATTCAGACAATATTTTGAGACAGATGACCCATTTTAGATTTGGAACGTGGGCAACATTTCTCTCCCTTTGAAGCGGGATTTATGATTGTTCCACTCACGCTGTCTCTGCCATCGAACTAACTAACTCCATGGAGCTGAGCCCTTCTTGACAAGCTACCAGTTGTGCAGCTATTCAAGAATTTCCCAACATTTTGTGGAAACCGAAGGTTCACTACCGTGTTCAGTAGAGCCCTTGGTTCCTCTCCTGGGCTAGATCAATCCAGTCTATACCATCCCATCTTACTTCTCTACTATCCATCTTAATATTATCCCCCCACCTACGTCTTTGTTTTCATAATGGTCTCTTTCCTTCTGGCTTTCCAACCAACATCCTATATGCATTCCTCTTCGCCCCCATTGGTGCTACATTCCCTGCCCAGCTCATCCTCCTTGATTTGATTATTCTAATTATATTTGAGGAAGAGTACAAGTAATGAAGTTCCTAACTGTGCAGTTTTCTCCAACATCCTGTCACTTCATCTCTCTTCGGTCCAAATATTCTCCCCAGCACCCTGTTCTCAGACACCCTCAGTTTTTGTTACTCCCTTAATATCAGAAAACACATTTCACATCCATACAGAACCACAGGCAAAATTATGGTTGTGTGTGTTCTAATCTTGTTTCTAGACAGCAGACGGGAAGACAAAAGATTCTGTAGTGATGATAGCAAGAATTGCCCTAATTCAATCTCCTCTTAATTTCCTCCTGATTTGTTACTGTAGTTCCGAAATATTTTAACTGTGTCATATTTTGAAAAGATCTGTTGGCTGACTTTTAAGTCATGATTTCGTTCTGCGTTCTGGTGACGAGACAGCAGTATGTACGTACTTAGTTTTATCTGCGTTTACTTCTAGACCAGGTCTCCACCTTCTAGCTCCGAAATTAGGAATGTGTGCACCTTTATTTTCCCCTGGATGTTCGGCTTCGCGGCACAGCACTGAGATATAGCGACTATTGCACTTCTAAACAATCTGACGGGATATTAGCTTAAAATATACCAAAACAGCATCCACGTTCCTGACACCTTGGTCGCATTTCTAAATGCAATAAGATGGCCTGGCAGTAGAAGACCTGCCAGTAAGTGGAAGGCCCAGCAGTAGACTTGCCTGCCGGTATGTCCTCCAGTGCCGATGTGATGGTTGCCATGGCTCGGTTGTAAGGGCCTCGTCACTTTAAACATGAACGGTACACCGTTTCTAGCCAGTAAGAGATTTATAAATAAAATGGATAGCAGATCTTATACACCATTAGAAGATAAATTACATATGAAATTAAGAATTAATTATTGCACACAAATGTTCATCAAACAGAAGATGTGGACATGTTACAAATAGGAAGAAATCCTATACGAAAGATAATTTTAAATTTCAGAGAGTGAAAATTTATGGGAAATGCGTAGATTGGAGACAGGATATTTTAATGAGGGTAGAATATGTCATTGGGCTCAGTTCTGAAGTTCATGACGGGGTTTTTAAATTAGTATTTAACAACCAAATTCAATCTGTACTTCATTTCGCATTAGAAAAGTCCATAATGAGGAGGAGTTGTAGCTTCTGCGATACGGCATCCTGTAGGCTGATGAAAGCCATCCGACGTTTCGGGGAAACCTACTCCATCCACCTTCACGGTCGAAGAGTGAACGAAGCAAGAAAGGGGCATGAGGCAGACAGCAAGCAGAGGGAACTGCGTGCTGCTCATTATTGCTGCCTGCTTCATTCCCCTTTCTTGCTCTGCTCACTCTTCGACCGTGAAAATGGTTCTTCCGAAACGCCTGCTGTCTTTCCCCGAACTACGCGGCATTATATACCAGAGGTGGAACTCTTCATAGCAAAAGCTGTGATACCCTGAAGATCGAAAAAAAGAAAATTGAAAAATGAAAGCACACAAAAATATTTTGCAGTAACAGCAATGTCACCCCAAGTGACGTCACAGACCAGACTCGGGCCCAGTTCTTTGGCAATGGGCGACGAGTGGCAAATCGACCTATCGATGGACAACATACGAAAGTCATAATTCCGGGTCGTCTTAAATGACCGGCGCCGTATTCCAACCTCTACGCATCTGCCGGAATATATCAGGACCTGCCTCGCTGAATCAGTCGGTTCAGTGACTGGTTGCCTGCTTCCTCGGAGTGAGGCCGAGCCAGATGCCACCACTGGCGCGCAATGTGATGCGGTAGGTGAGTCTCAGCTTCTCCCGTCCTGGCACGGTGGACAGTCGGTAAGATCTCAGAATCGTGGCGATGACGGTCTTCATCTCCATCAGCGCAAATTTGTATCCTGCAGGTCAGAGAAACTGTCATGCTCTCGGTTCGTTTCTTCCCACAATTCTGTCTCCTGCTTTGTGTGGCTGTGGAACTGGACTTTCATCGTAAGGAAAGGACGTAAGTTGAGGTGTAAGATTCGAGGTCCTCAAGGAGCAGCCCTTGAAGATTACTGTCTTGTGCGATGTAGTAGACCCCCACCAAAATCTGCGTGAAGATGAATTCCCCGGAAATGATTGTAACGATATATCGAACTATACAAAGCGTCACATCTCATCTTCACTGACTGATGGTGATGAAAACAGGGCGCTGTGGAGAATATTTGGGCCCCAGAAGGAGGGTCTTGTAGGAAGGAAAAGAAAATCACTTAGTAAGAGGCTGCACATCTCGTACTTTTCATCGAATATTATTAGGATGACAAAATGAAGGCGGAAGAGAGGGGTGACGCATAAAAACCTATGAGAATAGGTAAAGCACACGAAATTTTTGTGGGGCATCCTGAGGAAAAAAGACGACTGGGAAGGCCTAAGAATAAATGGGAGGATCCTATTAAAGCGAATCTTAAAGTAACAGAATAGGGAGGGGTGTTGGGCACTTGTTTCCAGACCACACTCTCACACTCGACTTTCACAAATCAATTTCTGTATAATGAGAACTCTCTCTCTCTCTCTATATGGCTCTACAACCCATTTTGTACGACCTTCAGTTTCTTAATCCTATAGGCAGTCGGTAGGACTACATGGACGGGGGATCAGCCCGTCGCAAGGCCGCTACCTACACAAAGGACACCACAAACACAGAATAAACGAACTCAGGCATCCATTCCTTGAGTGGGATTTGAACCCACGATCCCAGCATTCGAGCGGGCGAAAACATTTCTTACCGCAGACCGCGCGGCCACTGTGACTGGCGTAATGAGAACCAGTCAGTGGTCGGTTGCACGTAGTGACTGATGTCAGGTCTCACCTATGCAGTTTCTGGGTCCAGCGCTGAAGGGAATAAACGCATATGGATGTCGCCTCTCAACCGCGTCAGGCAGGAATCTTTCCGGGTCGAATTTTTCAGGGTCTGGGTAGATTCCAGGCAGACGATGCGTAGCGAAAGGACAGATGTGCACCCCGCAACCCGCCGGTATGGTGTACTTACCTGCAACATACAATATTCACCCACTGGCGTACTTTGACGGCTATACACGTTACAACTGCGCAGATCACATAGTGTCTAACGGTAAAGTGCATGCGGAAATATGAACTAGAAGGAAGAAATCGTGGGGTATGCGAGCCCGCGATACTCATTAGCTGGAAGGCTGTGTGGGCCAAAGAGTCGGTTTGGACGCTTGCGGAGGAGAGAGAATAATCTTGCCCTTTCCGGAAATCGAACACCGGCCGTCAAACCCGTAGCCCGTTGCTATACCATATGAGCTATCCCGGCTCCCTATTATTAAATTCGGGCGATGCTTGCTACCATTTTATCTCGAATCTAGGAATGTTAACATTAAGATATATGGAATTAAAATTTTTCATGCACTTTTGTATTGGTATGAAATTTGGTGCGTCATATTTAGAGAAAAACACCGACTGGGGGTATTTCAGAACAGGGTGCTGAGGGGAATATTTTGAACGGAAAGGGAGTAAGTGACAGGAGGATGGAGACAACAGCGTAATTAGTGAGGTTCATAATAAGTGTCCTTCACCAAATACCATTAGGGCAATCAAACCAGGGATTATGAAGTTCGGCAGGAAGTTTGATATGAACGGGCGAGATATTAAATGCATACAAAGTGTCGGCCACAAAATTATAAGGGAAGAGCTGCTTGAAGACATAGGCTCAGATAGAAGGATAATATTAAAATTATTCTTAAAGAAACAGGGTAGGTGTGTGATTACCGAATTCATTTGGCCCATGATAGGGTCAATTTGTGGAGATATAGGAGCAAAGAACCCTTGGTTTCCATAAAACTACGGAAATTCCTTGACCAGATGAGCGACTGTCAGCTGAGGTACCTATCTTGGCGTCCTCTCTGAGTGTCCTCGACAAGATGGGCACACTGGGATACAGCCTCAGAGTCTCCTTGATGCACTGCTCCAAGTACTTGAGCCTCCTAATGTCATTCAGACTGGGGGTCCTGGTATCATCACCGAACACTTCGTCCACCTCTTGAACGACGCGTTCTTGGACGCCCGGGTGCCTCGCTATTTCGAACAGACTAAAGGCCATGGCGGCTCCTACCGAATCCTGACCCTGCACACGAGAAGAATGTCAGCAGAGAAACAACAATACATCGACACTAAAAGTAGGTGGGTGCTCAGTCTCAAGCTCCGGCCAATTTACCTTCAGCATGCACTGGACAGAAAGATAGGTACGCTACAGACAATGGTCACAGGAGAGAAATACACTGCCCTGAGAGGTATCGAACCCCGGACGTCCAGTTTACAGCCAGTCACTTCACTGACTGCAATATCTTGATTAACTTAAGCACCAGGTCATGTAGACGTATGGGGGAGTGGAGGTATAGCTCCACCATTCTTGACTTTGGCACTAGATGTAGGTGAGTGGTCAGCTTCAAGCACTGGCCGCTTTATTCCCAGGGAAAGAAACCCCGGTACCCATTAAATAGGAGGCTGGGTGGGTCCCAAAGCCGGTATGGACACTGGGGAGATGACAAAAACCTCTTCTTGTTTCTGCCGGGAATCGAACCTCAATTCCTCAGGGTAGCCCGTCGATATACCGACTGAACTATCTCGTCTGTTATAATAATAATAATAATATAATAATAATAATAATAATAATAATCTGCCTGAACAAACTGCAACAGATTAGAACACAGTGGTGTCGCTCAATCGGTATAGTTCGTTTGTGGACTAAAAGCCACGGAGTTCAGGTGGTGGTGGAGACAGCGGTTGCACATACCGCCAGCATGAACGTGCACAGCTCCTGCACCGCGTCTTCCTCGCTGAACGACTCGTCTGCCTCAGAGATCCGCAGCATCAGGTCCAGAAAGGACTTCTTGTTCGGGGAGTCTGTAACAGACCACAATCACTACAGGCTTCTGCAGTCGATACAGCGTCGTCAAATGGCACATTAACGGTTCCAAGTATTTCGTCAGCTATTGTCTCGTAACCGGAAGACCCCAAGTTACATTTTCGCACCAGAGAACGGTCTTCTGGCATATGACACCGTGTAGGTGGACGATATGAGTGTCCGAGACTAAAGAGTACAGGCTGTCAGGGCGATAGTTGAAGTGGAAATGATTTTGAAGGAAGTGGTAGTGGTCTAATTGAGATATTATCCCAGCGCTTTCCTGGAGGTGCTGAGGACAACCACAAAAACCCGGTCATGATAATCAGTATCCAACCGAGACTCAAACCGAGCACCTCCTGAATACAAGTCTGGAACGAAATCGATCAACCCGCTAAGTGAAGCCCTGTGTAGGTCCCACTCTCAAGGGTACCTTCAGGTTACCGTGAAGATTCAGTCAGCAGGTACCTCCGAAATGTTGGCCTCTATCTACCAAACTACACGGCGTCACATACCAGACGGTGGCAATCTTTATATTTGCAGCTGTAAGATCCTTTAATTCCACACAGCTGTCCGTTGCCCATTTAGTCATTCCATTTACATAGGCCACGACCACTCGGTTCTTACACTTCCCAAGTTATAGTACAGCATCAGAGTCACATCCGCTGATGTTAACCCCCGCAGTGTAGAGAGTGTCGTCATATACATGCCAGGAAGATATACTGAGATTGTGGGTAACCAAGAATCGCTGTGCTGGCGAGGACCAGCAGCAATTCACCCGACCCGATAATGTTGGTTTTCAAACAGTCGCGATTAGAGAGACGACAGAACGAGAGATTAAAATCTTTCTGTGTTCATTTAAGCACCAAACCATGAAGACGCATGAGGGAGTGGAGGTGTATCTCCACGCAGTTTTAACCTCGGCACTAGATTAGATAAACGTGAGTATGCAATTTTACGGCCAGGGAAAATATCTCGCGGCATCGCCAACTGTGAGCCGATTGTCTGGAGAAAACGTGGGAGCCTCGATTTCTCACCTATGGGCCTCCAAGGCCTGTTACAGGGATAGGTTTACCCTTTTTGTTTTTGCCCAGTGGACCACAAGAGAAAATATCTTACTTTTGCTGGGAATTAACGCCCATTCCTTCGTCACTCAGGCCACACCGTAATCGATATAGCGAGTGAGTTATCCTGTGAAGTGTTTCGCTTACTGGTGCTGATTTCTAGCCCCTGTATCTATCGGCAACTTCTCCGTCAGTTACGTGACGCGTTCATTCCGCATGCCAGGGGTTTCGTAGGCCAATTTGTCACCGTATACTTCTAACTACGTAAATTTCAAAGTGAGTTCTTCTGTGTTGTAACGCCTGGTTGTTTAGGAGAGCCCGCCGTTTCGGGGAATATATTGTTTCCGCCTTCAGGGTCGGGGAGTAAGCTCAGCTAGCCATTCGCTTCTGCCGATATCTTGCATGGGTTATTCTTCGATCCTAAAGTTCCTCTGAAACGTCGTGACCTCTCCAAACTACACGGCGTTACATCCCAGAAAACCATAATCTTCATATTCACAGCCGTGAAAACCTCAAATCCAACACTGCAAATAAACTGTTCTGGATCGTGAATTGTAAGCGATCAGATAGGAAGCTGGCTTCTATGAAGGTGCTGCAATTGGGACCTGAGAAGAAAGAGGTAACACTTGGATGGAGAAAATTGCCTAACGAATAGGTTCATTGTGTTCTTCACCCGGTATTATCAGAGCCAGCAAATCCAGGAGGATGAGAAGGGCGGGGCATATGAACACGGGAGGAATATGAGAAGTGCGTAGAAAATTTCAGCAGAAAGATTTGAAAAGAAGAGCCAACTAGGAAGACCTAGGCACGGATGGCATGTTTAAATAAAGAAGCTCATGTTCCGGGCGAGGAAATGATAAGCAATTGCGGTTATATCCGTTGCATTGACCTAGGCAAGGAAATTCTGCGTATGAAACTTTGAGGGGGGGATTTACAGCGGTGAGGCCCCTGGAGCAATCTAAATGTGGAGGCCCCTATCAGTAAAAACAAAACTTTTTTATAATTGCTAGGTACAAACAAACTTTTCGTTATTTTAGACAAACAAAAGTCTCAATATATTCTGTGGGTTCTATTTCTGTTTTATGGAGGCTCCGGAGTGACCGCCCCCTGTAGCCCCCCCATAAATCTTGCTTCTTTCCAGTTTCGCAAAATAATAGGAGGCTATGAAGATTGATGACGATGTGACACAACGTAATTGGGAAGATTTTTACCGACGTTTCAGAGGAATTCGGTGCCTCAATTTGAAAAGTTCTCTGAGGATGGATGCAGTATATTCCTCCGAAGGGGGTGCTAAATCTCTACCAGACTACATTGCGTCACATTCCACAAGTCACTGACGTTAGAATATAAAGAATTAGCCTCGCATTAACCTACTGGCCTTGGTAATTGAGATGCGATTTTCTTCTGATACTTGGGGGCATCTAAGAAAACAGCTGCTATGAACTCACCCGTAACGTCACGGAGCTGATCGTGGACGCGTCCCTCTCTGCATCTTTCCTTTATTCTCTGGAACCCAGAACACAAACTTGGGATTTAATTTGTTTAAAATTCCCTAGCTGTCAATCTGTGGAAAGTAATTATTTTTCAGACGAATACTTCTCGTTGTAATGGACTCCGTCTTCATAACAAGAAACTCACATCAAATCGACGTCAGAAGCGTCTGCAGAGTGAATGCTTCACCCAGACCAATTAGAACTGCAATTTGGTCTCTTCGCTGAAAACTCAGACTAGGCTCAATGTAGTTTATTTATATCAAAACGAAGTAATATTCATGAGACACCCTGTAGATAATGTTGTACATTCAAAAAAGTACATAGCTTGTATGAAAAAAATATTAATAAAAGAAACACTTCAATTTTTCTCAATTTCTTCTCAGAATTACAATTTAGAAACATGTCTCTCTAAGTGTTTTATAAATCAGAAATATTAGTTTTAACGATAAATCGATATGGCATGGCATCAAAGAAATGTACGAGTATTCGATATCGACATGGACTCAGCGTGTCATTATATCATGAAATTTCTTGATGGAATAAATTTCCTTTTGTTTATTCGGAGGATCTAAGAAGAGAAAATGGGAACTCCATTTCAGAAAATTTGGGTAGATATTTCATTTGGTTATTAATAAAGACAGAATGTATTAAGAATCTTTGCTATTATGTAATGCAAATAAAGATAATGCACAACATTTATGACTGAATTTAGTCAAGTTATTGATCAACTTCGATAAACAATAGAGGTTTAAAACGATTCGATATCGATATCTATCATATCGATAAAAGTCTGTCCTCATTGTTATGTGCCATGTGGATAAAAGTAAGAATTTCAGTTCTGACACTTCTTGAACTTCAGATTCTGAAGTTAACTTTCTTGTGCATAAAATTTTGAGGTTCCCTGACGCCACTGTTTACAAATTCAAAAAATCTATTTTTTTCTGGCTCGAAAAGGCGAGAAAATCAATTTTGTTCATGTACCTCTCTGGTGAAATCGGCGATATTTTTCTGCTGCTGAATCTCGAGCTTCGCGACGTCTGTCAGTCTGTAGATCCAGTCGAAGAGAAACCAGGGGTACAGTAACCGATAGGGCATCACGACCTTGCCTCTGCAACACAGAGAGTGCAACTGCAGTATATCTGACCTTTCGAGACACATGCCACAAAGACACAGATAGAACTGCCACGAACTGAAAGCATGGAGGTGAGACTCCACGCATTTATTTTTGCAGAATATTAAGTAGAGTGCTTACTTGCGGAATGGCGAATCCGAAATGCCAGAGGCCTGAGTAGCCGCTGGGATGCCCAAAACAGCCTCTGCAAATACGGCATACGTTTTCGATTATTTTACTTCTTGGTTTGCATCTACTGCATGGTCACTGCCAGGAAGCTCTTTCCAACGGTGAGGAGGGGAGAAGGGCAGTGTTTTAGGGGTTGTGAGAAAGAGAAAATTTCCTCACGAACTTTGATTTAAGCCTTTTGAAACTTGATCGCCCTAGGGTATTTAAGATAGAATAATATATTTTCAATTATTTTATTTTTTTATATTAAGATTTAATGCATTTCTTTTTTTCAATTATGTTTGTTTTCCAAAATCCAGAGGTAGGTGGATGCCTGGCTTGTCCCTTCCTGCCGGGGTCCATGATACATCGATTCATTTTTACTGTGTTTATTTATGTATATTTTACTTGACGACGCTGTCTGTAGTGCAGGCAATATTTTTCTTTTTTTTTTCTGTTGCGCTAGAGCCCCAATTTGGGCCTAGGACTACCTCCATGAACTCCGTTTCACTTCGGTTTACTAGATCTTACACATACGGTAGGACTCCTTGGGCGAGTAATCAGCTCGTCGCAAGGCCTCTACCTGTAGACAAACACAGAAAAACGCACACAAACATCCATGCCCTGAGTGAGATTCGAACCCATGATCCCGGCTTCCGAGCGAGCGAAGACAGTGCATGCCTTAGACCGCTAGGCTACCGTGACCGGCTAGTGCAGGCGATATAGTACGCACAATCATAAGGTGATTAATGAATGGAGAAGGTACTATCTTCCCATCTGAAATGTGTCCGATTTTGTAGGTTTTCCACGAAATATTTTTATATATTTCATTGTTCCTATGCAGTCCCAATGCCAACCATGTGGCAATAACTTCGTCCCCAATCATATGCTTGCAATGTAGTCAGTCTACCTTTAATCAGATTTCTGATTAGAATATCTGAGAAATTCAGTTGCCTAAAATATAATTACAAAACGCCACGTCATCATTTAAAAACAGTTGAGTTTCTGCTCTGTAATGGAGAACAGAGTCCTCAATAATATAGAGAAGGACCTAGAAACATGTTTATTGTTTTCAATTTCAGCTTTCCTGTTCTTGTTTTGAGGTAAGAGCAACATTTCCAAGACCGGCAGTACACAATACACGGCGGCTCCTCACCGTGTAGAATGTTGAGTACGCAACGATTGACGGGCCCTGTGATGTTGACCGCGCTCAGATCCGCGTCAGCTTCTAGTTTCGTCACGAGGTATCGGGCGCACTCATGAAACGTCCCTAGAAAACCTTCCAAAACGCTGAGGTGGAAGCTAGGCTGGAGCAAACGCCTGTGGTGTCGCCACTTCCGTCCTGCAACATTAACATTCAGAGCGAGGACACATCAAAGAAACGGGCAACTGCAACGCGACCGAAATTTTTTAGAAACGTCATTGATTTCAAGCAGGCAACTGGTTTCCAGATTAGCAGCGCACATTGAGGGGACTTAAGTTTGATTAGTTGCTCACATCATCTCAAGTGGGCGTGTTCTTCCGACTTTAGTGCGCGGTTGTAATATTTAATTTCGTGCACTTATCTTCAGCAATGTCAGATAATGACACTGATCCTGTGGTTGAGACCGCGTGAGACGGGAGGACTACAACCATAAGAAAAACATATTAATTAATTTAATTAAATTTAATTAAGGTCAATTTATATGAATCAGAAAATATCGCTTTCACACGTGATACAAAATTTTGATACAGAGTGCAACAATTTTAGCGAGATAGAAGACACCTGATGATACGGCCGAAATATGCAGTGTTGCATTTAAGACTAAAATATATGTGAAATATACGTAAATGATATATTCATGCAACAGGATGCTTAAATACAGTATTAGGAGAAAAAACTTTGGGTGCATCCGCTCTTCTCTAACGATTTGAACTGAAGCGCTTGTATTGTTTCGAAAGGGTTTAACCAGGATCCAGACTCCTTCAACTCATAAGAAATCTTTCCCAAGCCAAATCTATTCTGACCTGCCTAGCAAAGTCTGCGTGGCGTTTGTCATATAAACGAGGCCCCTGCTCAACAAAATTAGCAGCTTCATGGACCTTTCGTGCCATCTAAAGAAGCGAGTGAATCACAGGAGCATGTGAGAACAGCTGAGTGTAGGAAACTTTGTCGCAACGCAACTGCGAGAAGACTGACTTGCTCAGTTGCTTGGGAGTTGACCTTCTCAGTCTCTCCGCGAGTTGCGTTGCAGTTGCATTGTCGTTCCCTCAATTTGCGCTTCTCCATTCGTTCAACGTGTTCATCTCAGTTTGATAACAATTCTCGGAAATTGCGGGTGCGTTGCGTTTGCCAGTTTCCTTGGTGTATCCTTGTTCTTACAGTGGCTTTCTGCGTACACAAATGAACACACGATGGGGAAATCGCTACCGTCAGAAACGAATGAAGAAATACGGAAAAGGTAAGATAAATACAGTGAAATAGAACCGAAATAAGGAAACAGTGAAGAAGAGGGGATGAGACAGAAGGAGTAAGAAGGAAGACCTGAAGGAAACAAGGAGCAGAATCATGTAGTGCTGGAGCTGGGGTAGCTCAGTCAGTACAGTGATTATGTTACGTTGGTGGATGTTTCTATGTAGGTAAAATAAAGTTGTCCTGTGCTTAATCTATTAAGCATCATGACTTGAAGACGTATGGGCGAGTGGAGGTATAGCTCCACCGTTCTTGACTTCAGCACTAGAAGGAGCTAAGTGGTTAGCTTTACGTCACGGCTGCTCTATCCCGGGGAGAGGGCCCTCGATTCCAGCTGGATAAGAGGCTGGGTGGGCCTCAGACACAGTCTGGACACTGTGGAGTAGAGAAAACTCTCTTGCCTCTGCCGGGAATCGAACCCGGGCTGTCCGTCCCATGGCCTGTCGCTATACCGACTGAGCTATCCCAGCTCCTGAGTATATATAGGATCTTGTTGATCCAGACAAGGCACAAATCCCCATTCTCCTCCCCTTACCCTGTTGTTTTCTGAAATAAGATCCTACAGGTACACAGAAATTTACACTTCAATCATGAAAGTGGAGGCAGCGCGTACCTGCGAAACTCTGGCAACATGTCCACATCTACTTGAAGTAACAGACCAAGAACGGAATTAGTTCCAGTTTCCTGACTTGCAAATGTAAATTTTCTTCAATTTGGTTAGCCCTTAAAACATAGAATGTAAATGCCTATCGTGTAGATCGCAGTGAGGTTGTCGATGTAAAAGGACGAAAATTGTCAAACTAACTGAATTCTAATACACAGCAGCAAATTCTCTTTGATACATTTTAATACGGTAGATATCTAAATAGTTTGTGTGTTTCTTAGTTAATCAGTCAATTAGTTGGCTAGTTTTTTGTTATCTCGTTAGCTAGCTAGGTAGTTGGTTAGGAAGCTAATTAGTTATCTAGTTATGTGAAGCTGAATCACAATTTGACGTCGTTAAATTTCCTTCAACTCACCGCTGCTTGTGATCAGTCCCTGCCCAAGAAAGTTGTGCAGCAACTTGTATAGGTACACCTTCTCGGTGTGTACGTTACTGCTTAAGATGACCTGAAACATTTCATATATTCGTGTAAAATTGTAATAAATAATCGCCTTTAGCTCAATGACATGTTTTGACGGTTTAAGACAACTACTTATATTAAAACTTAGTTTAGACAGAAAAATTTGGCATTTAAAATCTAATTTCAAGGGAAGACAAATTTTTGGAGAACAAGCGCAGATGAGAGTGAAATAATAAAATAAATCTTACATAAACAAGAGGTTTAGGGAAGTTCGCGGGTTCAAGTCCTGATGAGGTCATTGGATTTCTTTCAGTTGACCTAATCCTTCCAACCGCACTAGGCCCTGGGGTTTACTCAGCCTCTAACAGAAATGAGTACCAGGAATTAATTAAATAGTTTTCCTGTGGAGTAAAGCGCGGCCGGTGCGTAAGGCTGACAACCTTACCGCCATCTTTGAGCCGATTGTCTAGATAATGTGGGACCCTCAACGTCTCACAACCCTATGGGCCTTCACGGCTTGGTACAGGGATAGCTTTACTTTTTTACTTACTTTACTAGATTAAAACAGTACACGGCAGTGGGCAGTAGTAGGGCTTTGTGAATATTGTTACTAATTTTCCTATTCCAATTTCTTGACCGGTCAATCCACGACACAGATTTTCACGAAAAACTTGCACTATTTTAGTCAGGTATTAAAAGCTGACAGACAGTACAACTTTCAGGCCGTTATTTACCACTCACTGTCTTGTTAGGTAGCTACCTGTATGTGCTCTGGCGCCAAAAGAAAAACACCTGGTATCACTGCAATCCACACACGGAACACCGGACCGTACTCCTTGTAAGCCGTCTCGCCGATTTCCTTCAGCCCTGCGCAATAATACGCATTAATGCGCATTTACAAAGACAGGAATCAGAATAGTCGCACTGTATCACTGATGCTGCCACTGGAGGTTCGCATAGTGTAACACGTGCATAAGAGCTGCTTCTGGCACTTGCTGGTGTGTTGTAAACATACAAAAGAATGGGTCAGTAGAACTCACTTTGGTGGTTGGTGATCAGGAGAGCGTTTCCCAGCAGGGGCACAGCAGGAGGTCCTGAAAGTTGCAGGACAAAACAAACAGACCGGAACCAACCGGACAGGAAGTAGCATGTTACTCCGAGCAGCAGGACTACACAGTAGCTCCACAGGGACCACGGGTCGAGGATCATGTTGTCGGATGCGAAGCAAAAGTGAAATAAGTTCAAATGTGCCCTGTAAAGGAACATGCTCTACTTCAACATAAACCGACCATCAAGCAATACATGTACATTCATTTATCTGCAATTTCCTAAAGTGAACGCATGACGGGGGTGGGGTTCGTGGTTTACCACTGGGCGGTGTTTAATATTTGTAAATTAACTTCTCTGCAGCATGTAAAATTCTCCTTTACAGAAAGCTCAATGGGATCAGAACAGTGACCTCCGCACGGAAAATCGAAGGGCGACTCCCCGAAACTCTATATACAGAATCACAATTTCCGTTAACCACGATTCTTAAGTCCGCACACCCGGGATAACGCAGTCGGTATAGCGACTGGATACGGGCTGGACGATCGAGGGGTCGGAGTTCGATTCCCGGTGAGGGGAGCAAGAATCTTCACTTCTTCACGTCGTCCAGATCGGCTCTTGGGTTCACCCAGTCTCCTATCCAATGGGTAAGGGTCTCCTCCGGGGTAAAGCGGCCTGGGCCTGAAGCTGACCACTCACCTCCAACAAATGCCGAGGGAAAGAATAGGTGGATCTATACATCCAGTCCTCCATACGTCTTCATGGCGCAGTGCTCAATTAGTTAAGCACAGGAACAACTTTATCTTTTTTACCTTTATTATTCTTAAGTCCGGAAGGGAGAAGGGGTTACTCTCAAATTTTGGAGAGAGCAGAGAGAGGCCAGCCGAGCGGTTGCGCCTCTGACTTGTATTCTGAGGGTGTCCGGTTGGAATCTCACCCATGGCACAGCCTGTCCTTCCTGACATTTTGCATGCATCTTCCAAGTCCCCCCCCCACAGGTAAATGCTGGACAGAACCTCAACTGAGGCGCAGCCCGCTTCCTTCAACATCCTCCCACCATCCAACACTGTATCATCTGAGCTACTGTAAGAATGGCGGTGATGAGAACCATGCAAACTTATGGTTTGGACAGGCTGCGACACAGCTCAAGCAGTTAGTCGCTGGCTTCCCGCCGCGGCGGCCCGGGTTCGATCCCGGGTCTGATCATTTGGGATTTGTGGTGGACAAAGTGGCGCTGGGGCAGGTTTTCTCCAAGTACTTCGGTTTCCCCTTCCAATCTTTATTCCACCAATTGCTCTACAATCACCCTCACCTATCATCTGGGGCTGGTACAATAGGCCAGAAGTGGCCGCAGTACAAGGGACTTAGTCCCACTCCACTAGCAATAAAAAACAGTACATGGTTTGGACAGGGCTCAGATATTTGAGGCTCCCTTTTGACCTGTGTGCGCTTTGAATCGTGCCGCCAGTGCTCATTATATAACAGACTCCAGAGGCATAACCTTCATACCGATTCTCGTAACATCCGAAGAAAAGGCTTGTTCAATTTCTTTTTTCAGAAGTTGGCATCCTTGCGCCGTTAGGCATCTGGACATACCAGGTGCCACTAACATCGTTTTGATTTCATGCCCGTGTGTGTGTGGCCTTCGATATGCGCACACCCGCACACATACAAACAAACACATCGTAGAGTGCAGCCTTCATGAAACTGTTCGTGGTGATATAAACAAATACTTCAACAGATTAGCTCACCTCTTGAGATACATTGCACACTTTTCCTCGTTGCTTTATGATTCCAGGCAAGTTTAAGGATTGTGTCGTGTCGCAATGTAGACGGAAAAATGTTGCATGAAATAGATGATACATTAATGCAACAGCATGTTCAGTCCGTCGCCTCCTGAATTCAGCTTCTTCATCCCGTGAGTTTCAGGTACGCGAGGCGATCACCGTGAAATCTTGTACGATGTGACGCCACATAGTCTCAAAGGTACCAGCGTTTCTGTAGAACCTGCTGCCTCCATCTTCAGAGTATAACACAAAAGCAGCAGGTTTCACCAAAACGTTGCTATGTACTATGAGATTGTACAGAGTTCCATGACGTCACACAAGATAGTAATCGTCAATGACGTTATTATTTAAATAAAATATAATGTAACGTCTACAGCCGTTGCTATGCAACGACCGTGAGATAGGCGAACAAAGAAAGAACGGCCGTTTCTAGGCAACAGCTCGGTAAACACGTTCCCGCTACAACGGACAGGAACGGGACAATAGAAAAACTGTGTTCTCTGTGTGTTCGTGCAGAGAAGTTATAACCAGGACATTTGAAGCAATAACTTCAGTTCAGTTCTGGAAAGGAGGCTATTAAGATAGGACTTGAGCGCGTGAAGCTGAAGAATCTCAACTGTTAGAAGCAGTTGCCAGGGAACGGCTGGTAAAAGCATGGAAGACTGGAAAAGCGATAGCAGTTATTGGGGTGATTTGTAAAATGTATAGATCAGCGATACCATTTTGATTGCTTCCAGTTCCTAGTTGTGTGTATAAGTGGTCACTAAATCCTTTCACCAATCCGAACCCCGTCTATAGCCACACATACGACGCGACAATACGTATTTCTTGTTGCATATCATTTCTCTTTTACCTGGTAGAGAGAAGTCTGGTTTTGTTTTAACGTCAATGTTAGATTAGTGAACACACAGACCACATATAATTATTTCCTTCACTCGATAAAATAGTATTACAGACAAAGGCAAATTTTACTCTAGACGTCTGAGAGAGTGGAGCTGCAGCTCAACCATTCTGAACCGCGGCATTAGACGGAGGTGAGTGATCGGCTTCACGCCCCAGCCGCTTTATACCCGGGAAGAGAGCCCACGGCAATCATTGCGTAGGAGGCTGGGTGGGCCTGAGATCCAGTCTGGACGCTGTGGAGAGCAGATAAAAATCTTATCCGTGCCGGAAATCGAACCCCGGCCATTCAGCCCATGACTACTACAGACATTCGAGGATTGTTACCGTTTTTGTACATTTGCTAACTTAGGATTGCAGTCTTGCAGGGCCTAACGTTGTGTATTTACTTCCAACTTGCTTTTTAAATGCTTGCAACTGCGCGGAATGTCAAGAATAAATTATATGTACATAATAATATATGTACATTATGTAAACCTGAAATCTGCCATCTCATTACGCAATATCAGGTTAGCATTGGAAAGAATTATGTAAGAGGTCACCGAGGGCCGCGCCATAGCTCAAGCGGTTAGTCGCTGGCTTCCCACTGCGGCGGCCTGGTCTGGTCAAGTGGGATTTGTGGTGGAAAAAGTGGCCCTGGGGCAGGTTTTTTCCGAGTACTTCCGTTTCCCCTGCCAATCTTCATTCCACCAATTGCTCCACAATCACCCTCACATATCATCTGGGGCTGGTACAATAGGTCTGAAGTGGCCGCGGTACAAGGGACTTAGTCCCACCCCACAAGCAATAAAATAAAATAAAAGAGGTCACGGATGAGCGAGCGTTCTTCTCCAGTTTCTATGTTTGTTTGTTGGTATTCTGTGAGCACTGGTGATGTTTTATTGTGGATATGTGTAGTGCAGTATACTATGTAGAGGAAACCGTTTACGAGGTTTATTATTTGTGCGTGTTATTCATGGGAGGTGACCTTAAACATCGGCACACGTAGAAATAAGAAGGAATACGAAGGAAAGAGAGGAAGGTTGATACTAAAAAAGCTTATGTAACAGAAGAGATTTAGCAACAAATTTTCAATGGGTTTTTGTACTATTAAATACTACATAATTTTTAAATTATTGGCAAAAATTTCCCACTGGCTTAGTTCCAAATAGACTGTTGAAAGTAGGGAAACCACAGAAATCCTATACCAAATGCACTTATGCTGCCTGGATCTGCTCTGTGTCCAGTTGACGGTATCAAGGTCAGCGCAGATTCTTATAGCGAGAGTAATTTTGTGGACGTGAGCCGATCGCCCTAACGCAGTAAGTTTTATTACCTGTGCCAGGACATAACAACTGTCAAGGACACTTTGGTATTAAAAAGCACCCGTCAGCAATTCGAATCTTGTAGCAGTTACCTGAAAGAAAACTGCAATAGCAGTGACGATTGCGTATGAATATAATTATTGTGTTTCTGAACATGACCGCCTCTGTGGTTTAGTGGTCAGCGTTCCTGGCTACAGATCCAGATGTCCCGCGTTCGATTCCCAGGTGCTACCAAATTTTCTGAGTAGTGGATCTGGACTGGGTTCCACTCAGCATCGTGAGGATAACTGAGGAGCTATTTCAAGGAAACAGGGGCTCCAGTCTTCAGAACAGAAATTAACTGCCGTGGGGATTCGTTACGATGACCACGCAACACCCTCTGTCCCTTAGAGTTGACATCAACTTCGCCAAGCGGCGGTCGCTCGGTAGGAATAGTTCGCTTGTGGACTACAGGATACGGAGTTTGTTTAGTTTATGGACATTATCTGTCGTCTTTCTTTTCTTGAAAACTCACATAACTTTTCGGAGACTGGGTTCTGTCGCCGTGTTCAGGATAAACCTACTCCGCTGGGCACAACAGATAGAGCTAGTCCCTATCTCAGGACACCTGTACCAACATAAATCAGGGTATATAAACCAAGCACAGCATAAACCATCTGCGAGATATAAGACAAACATTAAAAACATTCCACATACATGAAGCCTAGCACCAATGTCAACACGCTGTTTCACGGCTATTGTTAAAATTAGAGTACTATGAGACTAGAAGACAACAGGCGGTTCTCTGGTCGAAATGTGGACGAAGGGAAGCACAACAAAGTGAAAAATGGAGAGACTTGAAGACGAAAAGTAGAAAGGAATGGAAGACGGGAAATATGAAGGAGAAAATCAATGGAATATGGAAAGAAAGAATGAACAAAGGTAAGAAGGAAGGAAGAACGGAAAGGGAAAAAAAGACAGATAAATAAATGGCAAGAGGCTGACAGAAAAGGAACACGAATGTCGCCGCCCTGTGTGACCTTGGTGTGTCTATTTATAATTGAGAACGATTAAGGAAGAATGTGGACTGGTTACCCTAACGCGAATTCTGTTCATGGTGAACAATGCAGAAGCCATCTTCTAACTGAACAGGACATTAATATTCCAGGCGCACAACGCAGGGACGTGTGTGTCCCACAGATTGCTGTGGCTCAGTCAGTGGCGGGTGATTTCAATGCAAGGGCACGGAAAGGTAGGCGCACCTAGCTTAGGTAACTTAGGTCTTGGGGAGAAAATACTGTGAAAATCAAGAGCGCGCTTATTCTTGAAAACGAATCCACAGAAAAAAAATTATGCGTATCTGGGGCGGAATTCACGACATACATCGCGATCCGTTGTCAGGATGTGACACGTAGAGATCATGCTGGACTAGACATATAGCTCGAACGTGTGAAAAAAAAAACATAAATAATGAACTCTGGGGAGGTATGCGGCTTGAAAAACTGGGGGTGGGGACGACGACAATATTAACAGAAATCTTAAGGAAAGAGATTTTTAGGGATGGGAGGTGGATGGAACTGGTTCAGGATCGTGTCCAATTTAATCCACCGACCGACTAATGAGAGACAGTGAGAGTGAGTGGACAGTCATGGCTAGAAAACAGCGAGTTGCAGTCACGAGTTATAGCCGACAGTCGAGTTGGTTAGCTCTGAGACAGACGCCAGCCGGTAATGACGTAAGCAGACGATATTGTTGAGATCCGTTAGGAGTTAACGGCTAATCACGAAATAGAAGACTTAACTTATAATGAGTGACAAGTAGAGTGTGCGAATTAGCAAGAGATCTATAAATGCTGTAGCTACAACTGATAAGTGTTCAATAAATCTAATTACCGATCCAAACAACGTGCGTAGCCATTAACAAATGACAACGGAAACGAAGTAATTTCATGCTATTAGTAAACAAAGTGGGAACAGAAGTAATCCTAAGCCAGTTTCATCCAGTTTAAAAGTCGTTTCACTGGGATCATGTCGCCTGTTTCCGCTTGCGGCAGGTATCCGAAAGGTTTCTACATCTCGTTTAATCAGGCGTTTCTTGTGTTCTTCCATTAATTCGAATTGTTTGCACAGCTCTTCGGTCCTCTGCGCTAACAGAGCCATCTCCTGTCATGCAACTGCGTCTCTTCGTGTACAAAATTGTTGTAGCGAGTTTGTTTACAAACATTTGTACTTTATTTCCTTCACTCAGTGCAACCGGACAGAACAAGTATTAAGTAAATAAGTTGTTTCTGTGCTCAATTAATTAATTAAACACCACGCCATGGAAACTTGTAGGCGAGTGGAGGTATAGCTCCACCGTTCTTGACTTCAGCACTAGATGGAAGTTAGCGGTCAGATTCACAACCTCACTACGTTACTCCAGAGGAAAGAGCCACAGGCACCCATCGGATAGAAGGTTGTATGGGACCCAGTGTCGGTGGAGAAGAGAAAAATCTTGAAATGCCGGGAATCGAACCCGGACATAAAGTCCGTAGCCCGTCGCTATACCGACTATTACTACGATTAACATTACTACTACTAAAGAAGGTAAAGGCCATAGAAGCCCATATGGTTGTGAGACGTTGTCTTCTAGACCAAGGGTCTCCAAACTACGGCCCGCGGGCCACATCCGACCCGCGAAAGAATTGTGCAGAAATGCTCCAATTGAACTAATTTTCCAATGAGTATTGGTAAAAATATACTTGTTCATAGATTTCAAATTCATTAATTAAGATTGTGTTTAAAATATATTGATATCCCCCCCCTTTGGCACTACAGCCCCAGTGGGCCTAGGCCTACCGCCATGAACTTCTCCGTTCACTTCGGTTTTTCTAGATCTTACACAATCGGTAGGACTCCTTGGGCGGGTGATCAGCTCGTCGCAAGGCCTCTACCTGTACACAAACACAGAAAAACGCGCACACACAAACTAAACATCCATGCCCTGAGTGGGATTCGAACCCACGATCCCTATTTCCAAGCGAGCGAAGACAGTACGTGCCTTAGACCGCTCGGCTACCGTGACCGGTATATTGATATTCCATATTATGTTAATATTATTCACAATTTTACTAATTCTGGACCGTATACTGCGCGGTATTTCTTCGTACTTGTTCGGCCTCGATCGGCCAATGTTTCTTCACTGTGTTATCCACCAACAATCACTTTGTGGAAAACACGTTGATATGAGCTCTGTTTTAAAGCCTGTTATTTCTATCGTTAATTTCATTCGCTGTCATGCACTTAACCATCGCAAGTTTCGGTCTTTTCTCGAGGAATGTGATTTCGAGCTTACTGACCTGACATATTATACTGCAGTTCGATGGCTTAGCTGTGGAAAGGTTCTTTCGCGCTTCTTTCAGCTCAGGAATGAAATTGATATATTTCTTACCGAGAAAAACCATCACGAACCACTTTTATCAGATACCGAGTGGCTTTGGAAATTAGCATTTTTTGCTGATCTGGTGAACCATATGAACCATTTGAATTTAAAGTTGCAGGGTGAAAATAACTTAGTCTGTGATTTATTTGCACTTATCAAGGCATTCAGAGCAAAGTTGATACTTCTGGAAAGCCAAGTGAAAAATTGTAACTTTGTTCATATGCTATACTGTGCAGAGTTGCATAAAAAGGGTGAAGCGGAATTTCCTTCCTCGTTTGCAAATTTAGTCTTTTCAGATTTGAAAGAACAATTTCGGAAGCGATTTGCTGATTTGGATGCCAGTGCTCAGGAAATTAGATTGTTTCAAAATCCGTTTGACTGTGATGCTGCAGATGTCCCAAGTCAAATTCAAATGGAAATTATTGAACTTCAGGAAAATTATCATATTAAAGACAAATACAAGGAAGGAAATTTGATTGTAAATTTATCTCCATTTTTGGGACGACATATCTGTGTGAACAATTTTTTTCCCAGATGAAGTACATTAAGTCGAAATACAGGACAAATGTATCCAATGAACATTTAAAGTCGCTACTTGTGATTAGCGTTTCAAAATTTGAACCTCAATTTAAACAGATTTTAAGAATGCAAAAAGATTTCCATCATTCACATTAATTGTTTTATTATAATTTGTGATGAAAATATGATCATTTGCTGCTACTGTCTGTTGTCATTAATATATAATAATTTATTCTCACGTACTTTGTATTTAGTTTATGAAATTCTGTGTTTTCAATAAAACTCATATACCTAGAGTTATTAATTTCTCATTTTATTAGGCAAGTTGAAAGTGCTCAATTACCTAATGTGGCCCGCGTTTCGAAAACGTTTGGAAACCCCTGTTCTAGACAATCGGCACACAGATGGCGGTGAGGTCAGCCTTACGCCCCGGCCGCCCTTTACCCCCAGGAATATTCCTGGTCCTCATTTCTCTTATAGGCTGGGTCGACTCCAGGGTCATAGTGAGGCTGGAAGGATTAGGTAAATTGAAAAAAATCAAAGGATCTCATCGGGAATCGAAATCGCTACCTTCCGGCTTGTAGCATAGTGTCTCAACCAACCACTACTACTACTACTACTACTACTACTACTACTACTACTACTACTACTACTACTACTACTACTTGCTGTGTAGGCCTCCTCATCTGCTGACAAGACAGTGCTCCGAGCACGCGGAGCGAGCGCTGCTGCCTCCCGCCTGCTATTGAAACAGAAGACTGAAGCTGTTGCGCTTGTCGCGGCGTCTGAATCGTCTGAATGCAGTCTGACTCAACGGGCACTCCCGACCCGACAGTTCACTTTGCAGCGCCTTGCGGTGTCCGCAAGCTGACAATCAAGCTACAATACAACGGCGAGGCACGCTCGTGTCCAGTTCACGGGGCTGTCGGTACCTGGGCTACCAACGCAGAATTGGAAAGAAGCGGCCTTGGCCTAATAGTAACGATAGCTTGTGTCCCGGCCGGGATTCGAACCGAGAACCTCCCGAAAACAAGCGAGAACCCTTACCGAGACACAAGCCTGTATGGTTCGCGGCCGGGGAACGTATGGATTGTAGCCACTAATTTAGTGAGTAATCAGTCGCTCGGGTTTGGCGGGGTCCATCAGAGAACGCAGGACTTGGAAGTAGCTGTAAGGTCCGTGAAGGCGGTAACAAAATTTCGGGTTGCATAAAAGTGGAGACGTTCTTGAGCAGCTGAACAACTGCTAGCTACCCGAAAACAATTCTGATCTTTGGAGTCGGTCGGTCAGATTTCAAGGTTAGCGCAGAGGTGACGAAATGGACCCCGTTCGAAACTCGAATCTGTTACAGATGACCCAGATTGGAACTTCTGTACACGCAGCCCGTAGCCCGTCGCCGTAGTGACTCATGGGAACAAAGAGGACAAATTGTGAATGTGGAGCCGAAGTGAAAGGAACTCGGTAGAGTGACCTGTCTTTCTGGGAAGAAGGACACGGATCGCAGAATGCAGGGCTATGTGTGTCGATGGCATAATTAACAGAACGGCCTGGGTCTCCGTGGCATAGAGGAAACCAAGTGAACGGCCAAGGACGTCAACGTCAACGTCGACGTCAATGACCCAATAAATCCGCTTCTGGCACCCTTTCAGGGGTGCCCAGGCTCGAATCTCCGTTGGAATATCATCTATTATAACTTAGGCTTTCCGTGGTTTTCTTCGGTATCTGAAGGCAGGTCCCAGGATACTGCTTTAAATTAGGCTACGACGACTTCCTTTCACATCCCTTACAAAGAGTCATTCACTGTCATCCAGTCAATCGGAGCTATTTATCACAGTCAGAGTCACTTTACTCAGTCCGTCTTGGCGTCAAGCCCCTTGAGACCCACGACTAGAGATTTTTCTTTTCAACTGAACCCTTGCCGTAATAGCCCTTATGTAACATGCTCTCTGACGAGAAGAAGGGGTTGTCTCTTATGAATATATATAAAATTTGTCAAGTGTACATTTCGCACATATAACATGTTATTAAAAAAATTTCCTTTTGCACTACGCTCAAGTCCTCTGTCAGTAGAGGCTTTGCAAAGATCACGCCTATCTTACGTATCTTATGCTACAACGGCAGCTTAGTCACTTGAATGCTCGTAAGCTTAACCGCCGCCAAGTTTAAGCCTCTTGTGTTTTCTGTATCTCTGAGATACAGAATGCCTCACTAAGGGGTTCACAAGAATCTGCTTTCATTAAAATTTCCCAGTGACGGGATAATGCGGCCGCTGTGATAACTCTTCGGGGTTCATAAGGCCAGGGAAATTCTTGAATAGCTCAAAGATTATCAGCCCTTCTAAGATGAATCTGTTCCACATAAGTTAGTTAGCTCGTCAATTAGTTATATACATTGCCGATCTTGCTTTTTCTAAGAAACAAGAATTCTGTAACGAGAGGTCTACGAAGCAGTAAAATGTTTAGGTTCAAGTGTTGGCACTCCTGCTTCGTATCTGTGCAGCTCCCAATTAATTCTCGAAAGGGAAACCGGCTACATTGACAAAGATTTTCTGGTTTACCTGAGTAGCTCTGCACACTTGTTAGATTAGTGCCTTCAGAAAGGTCCGAGTACTCCCTGTCACACAACTCCCAGTTCACAGCCGATAAACGTCAGACAGTATGTGGTCTGAGAAATAAGCGGAAATATGTTCTTGTGCAGCAGTTGGCGCCACTGGTTAGCCTGCGCCACACAAGTCAGCAGTTTTGTTGCAAACAATTGTTGGGAGTCTTTTCGTTTTGTTTATTTATCGAAATGCAGGGAAAATAAGAGTTTTGCAATAATTTCAGCAAAACCCAATATTGTGGAAATAAGATACTTACTGTTGATCAAATTCGGTCCCCCAGTACTACCCAGAAACAAAACAAAAGTCCCCATTGGAAAATAGCCAGACCGTGGGATTCCAACCAAAGCGCCAGTCGAAATCGAAGAAGAAAGTCATAACTCGGTCGTCAGGGTCTCGTTTCTGAAATCTAGATGAATCAGGCAAATATGACACACAAAGATAAAATTGTGCTTTTACTTCATTAAGTACTACGCCATGGAGACGTGTGGGGGAATGAAGGTATAGATCAAGGCGTTCTTAACTTCGGTACTGTGTGAAGGTTAGCTTAACGCCCCGGCTGCTGTACTACCTAGGAAAGAACCCCTGGTACTCATCACAATTAGAAGCCAGTTAGACCCCAGAGCCAGTTCGGAGGAAAAAATCTCTTGGGACTGTCGTTAACCGAACCCCAGTCCTCTCGTTGTCCAGCAAGTAGCCTAACCGCTACAGTAACTGTGATCCCCGGCTTAAGAATGTGAGGGAAGACGTAAATTGACGTATATTGGCGCGTCAGCACTCCGTAAGAAGCGCGGAGCTAGTTCAGGAGTTCAGGGCTGCAGAGCGCAATTACTGACATCCATAAACGGAGGCCTTGTTTTTCGCCTTCAGCAGATGGAGACGGTTCCTTTGCGTGGAGCGGGAAGCTGCAGTGTTACGGCCAGCATGTAGAACCTGCTCTCAGTTATCTCAACACAGGCTTACAGTTGAGATAGCCCATGGGCTACGGGCAGGACGACCGAGGTTCGAATCTCGGCAGAGGCAAGAGATTTGTTCTCTTGTCCAAATGGCTCAGACCGATTCTGGGGCATATCCAGCCTCCTATGCAATGTGTACCGGGGGGGAAAACGGCCGGGGCGGATAGATGACCACACACGTTCATCTAGTGTTGAGGTCAAGAACAGATGACTCTATTCCTCCGCCCCGCCCCCGCGTCTTCGTGGCGCGTTGATTAACTAATTAAGCATAGTGGCAACTTTACCTTTACTCAAGGTTTTATTTCTTGTGAGTTATTCTGCGTGGCTTTCGCTAACCAGACCAGGGACGGACAAACTTGAAAACCACTGGATTAGAAATGCAAATGCTTGGATGGACCGCATTTCCGGAAGAGTACCTGGCGAAAACTCCGACACTATCTACTGCTGCAAGAAACGCTTGAAACAAATTTAATATGTTCCTACGAAAGAAAGCGTCACTGGATTTCTTGACAAGTTCAGAAGAATGCAGATGTTGTGTAAACTGAAAACAATATATCACGCAAGTTTTCACAGTACTCGGGCAAAATAAGAGACTAGTTGCAGAAATTAGTAATCCACCAAATGTAAGAAGAAGACTGAGGAGGCAGTGGCCGTCTGACCTACCACAAACCGCAGATGACGAAAATTAAAACCATCATCATTCCTGTACAGGACCTGTCAGAATATCATCAGCGGATGACTTTTCTATTCAAGACACTTACTTAAAACAAATTTACTTATTACTCCATATTATTGAGAGTAGGTTGTAAATATGTCATTAATTAAATAAAAAATGTTTGCACATAGCCATGCGTGCTGGATAAGTTCTCGCGACTCGAATTCGGCTTGCGGGCCATAGTTCGCTAACCCTGATGTAGACCATATAGCGAAGAACAATATGATGGCTGATGACTTGGAAACAAGTGGGAAGGACTGTTCGTGACCTTGTCGAAGTCCTATCTGCAGATTTACCTGAAGGGACTGAGGAAAACAACGAAAGACCTCAGTCACAATAGTCTGTGTACTTGTCGGTATTTCAGTCGACCTCATCATGAACACGAATAAATAGAGTTACTACCAAGCCCACCTTCTCGGCAGAACTGTTTCATTTCAATTCAATACAAGCTCTTAGTCCAGTCAGTGTAGTGACGGCCGAGGTACGATTTCCGGCTGAAGCAAGAGATTTTTCTTGCATAAACAGGGTCCACACCGGCTCTGGAGCAACCACAACCTCCTATCCAACAGGTATCTTGGGCTCTTCTTCGGGGGTAAAGCGGTTGGAGTGTGAATCTGACCGCTCACTTCCATCTAGTGCCGAGATTTGGGATCTATGGAACAACATCTTTAGTTACCAATAAGTCTTCATGGCATGGTGTACAATTAATTGCGAAAAGGGACACTCTTAAGCTGTCCTTGTCAAATGTATGCCCTTGTCAACATGAAGCTGTGTCCCGGAGATCTGCAGACTCATTAGGCATGAGCAGGTGGGTGCAGGTTGATGGATGGCCTTCATTCGCCATCTCCGTTTCGCAAAGGCATCAGTAAGGCCTCGTCTCTTCAGCAAATGCTCTTAGGTTGATCAGACCAAGGAGGGTAAGGTGAAGGAACCTGTAGCTCCTTTGGGTGGGAGTGTGAGGACCACGCAAAACTCTCGTGACCGGAGGACTATGAAGAGACGTGAGGTGTGGACGAAATGGGAGCATTAAATTATATTGTTAAGAAATACGATGTGAAGATATGGACTGGATTGAACTGGCTCTAGGTAGGACAGAATAGAATAAGTATACCGTTTTTATTTGGGTGGGCAGTTCCCTGAAAATGGACGTTTCAAAGACTGTATGGGTCATTCCATGTGAAGTCATCCAGAGAGATCGCTCACTATTTTTTAAAACATTCATATTTTGTACACTTATTTCTACATATTTTCACACTTCAAAAATATTTTTAAAAAAAATGTGATCGCTCGGTTCTCCCGGTATAGCCGCTTTTATAATGCGAAAAAACGAGTTTTCGGCTCAAATGGAGGTTTGCGTTATCTTCCATCTCTCGATAACTACTGAAGCTACAGACTCCGATGAAAAACCAATTTCTTCCTCATGATATGGACTATAAATCATGTTATTACAAGGTTTTACTCAACTCACTTTATCTAGGTGTAATTAAGCTTGAAACGTACC